TGATCATTGAACGGTTTGTCAAACATGGGTTACTTATAGAGTGCGAATCTGAATATAACACTCATTTTACCGGTAAAGAAACCAGATGGGAAATAGAGGATAGTCCAAGATCTCAGGGCCATTAGTAGGACAACTGAAGATTTATACCCTGTGGTGGCCAATCCGTACACTTTGTTAACTAAATTAAAGCCCCACTTCGCCTGGGGTACGGCACTGGACCCAAGGGATGGTTTCTTTTGCCTGAGCTTGAGCCCAGAGAGTGAATTGCTGCTTGCCTTTGAGTGGGAAAATCCGGATTCTGGAAGAAAAACACAACTCGCGTGGACTGTGCTGCCTCAGGGCTTTAAAAATAGCCCTGCTCTTTTTGGAAACCAGTTATCCAAAGACCTGGAACAATGGGAACATCCGCCCGGAGCTGGAACAATACTACAATATGTAGATGACTTGCTAGTAGCCACTGAGACAAAAGAATTAAATATAATGTGGACAGTGAGTTTATTGAACTTTCTTGGACTAAGTGGTTATCAAGTCTCTCCACAGAAAGCTCAAGTGGCCCAACAACAGGTGATGTACCTAGGATATGAAATCAAAGCTGGTGTACGGACTTTGGGGACAGCAAGAGAGGAGGCTATCTGCCAAACCCCTAAACCACAGACGTCTAAGGAGCTCCGCACCTTCTTGGGAATGACAGACTGGTGCTGCTTACGGATTTATAACTACGGACTCCTGATAAAGCTGTTCTATGAACTTTTAAAATCAAGTCCGAAGGACTTAACCCAGAATGGGAAGCTAATCAAGCTTTCAGTAAATTAAAACAGGAACTTATGCAGGCACCAGCCCTGGGGTTACCAGATCCTACTAAACTCTTCTGGCTGTTTTCTCATGAAAAAAAAAGGAATCGCATTGGGGGTCCTGGCCCAGGCTCCAGGACCAGACCGAAGAATGGTGGGATACTTTGCCAAACAACTGGACGAAGTAATTAAAGGATGGCCAGGTTGCTTGAGAGCAGTAGCAGCGGTAGTGCTCAACATCCAAGAAGCACATAAATTCACAATGGGCCAAAAGATAACAGTACTAGTATCGCATACTGTCTCCGCAGTGTTGGAGGCGAAGGGGGGGCACTGGCTATCTCCACAGATACTCCTCAAGTACCAGGGCATCATGGTGGAGCACGACAATGTACAAGTAGTGGTTACTGATATTGTCAATCCAGCATCTTTCCTCAGCAGAACTGTAGGAAAACTGGTGTCCCACGTCTGCCTGGAGACAATTGAATCTGTATACTCCAGTTGACCGGATTTGAAGGAGGAACTGTTGGAGGATGCCGAAGACACGTGGTACACAGATGGCAGCAGTTTTGTTTGGCAAGGTCAATGTAAGGCTGGATACACGGTAACCACTACTGATCAGGTAATAGAGGCCAAGGCCCTTCTGCCTAACACCTCAACTCAAAAGGCAGAAATCATAGCTCCAACTCAAGCTCTGGAATTAGCAAAAGGAAAAAAAAATTCAACATCTGGACTGATTCTTAATATGCATATGGGGTGGTTCACGCTCATGGAGCAGTCTGGAAAGAGAGAGGATTGTTGTCCACCCAAGAGAAGTAGGTAAGATGTGCTGAGAAAATCCTTAGGTTGTTGGAAACAGTTCAACTACCAGAAAAGCCATAATACACTGTAAAGCTTATTAGAAGGGAATAACGACTCAAGAAATAGGTAATTCCATGGTGGATCATGAGACCAAGAGAGTGGCCGAAGAGGACATAGTGGAATTGCAGTCTTTGGTCCCAGATCGTAAAATCCAAATTGATCAGAATTTCGGTGAGCCTAGATACTCAAATGAGGATCAGAAACCAATTAAGGACCTAGATGGAAAAATAGGTGAAAATGGATGGGCTAAAACACCACAAGGAAAAATAATAGTACCTTGTACCTTACTTTGGGCTGTAATTATGGCTGAGCACAGAAAGACTTATTGGGGAACTGAAGCCCTATACAAGTACCTAGGCAAATGCAGTGTTGCTCGGACTTTATACACAACTATCAAACAGGTGACACAACAATGTGAAGATTGCCTACAAAATAACCCCCAGACAACTCAAAAGGTTACATTGAGACAAATAGGGAAAGGGAACCTTCCTGGGCAATGGTGGTAAATTGATTTCTTGGAACTTCCAAGAAAAGGGGAGTTCTGATATTTGCTTGTTTTGACTGACACCTTTTCAGGTTGGCCAGAAGCATTCCCCTGCCGAACAAATAAAGCCAGGGAAGTGACTAAGGCATTCGTGCAAGAAATTATACCCAGGTTCGGAGTTCCGGCAGTCATGCCCTCAGATCGAGGACTGCACTTAATAGCAAAGGTCACTCAGCAAGTTAGTAGATTTCTGGAAATAGATTGGCAATTACATACCCGTTATAGGCCACAGGCAGGTGGCCAGGTGGAAAAAATGAACCACCTCCTTAAATTGCAAATTGTAGAACTAGGACAGGAAGCTGGATTGACCTGGCCTCAGTCACTACCCCTGGCTCTTCTGAGAATTAGAACCAAACCTAAGGCTAAGGAGGGACTAAGCCCTATTGAAATACTATACGGAAGACCTTATATGGTGCAAGCAGGAGCATCTACACAAGTCTGTACTGAAGTGCTAACCGACTATGTAATAAGTATACAGAAAGAACTCAGAGAGGTAGAAAAATTGGTCCTGGTCTCTCATGCCCGCGGGCTTGACGGACCAATTCATAATATTGTACCAGGTGACTATGTATATGTTAGATCTCTTTCAGACTCACCTTTAGAGCCTAAGTGGGATGGACCATTTCAAGTTCTGCTAACGACACGCACGGCGATCAAAGCGAAAGAAGTCTCTTCCTGGATTCACCATACGAGAGTCAAAAGAGCACTGAAACAGCAATGGGAGACCAAGCAGACCGGTCCTCTAAAATTCCATCTCTGACGGAAGGATTGCTGATCATCTCTGTCTTGATGGGACTTTGTATAGTAGAAACTCATTCCTGGGATCAGAATGTATATTTACAGTTAACTACTAATATTTCGAGGCTTTTAAATTTGTCCAACTGCTGGGTATGTGCTGCTCTTCCTAGTGAGGATGTGAAATTCCCTCTCTTTGGAATACCAGTGTCTTATGCTAATTGGAGCTGGCCATATGATAACCTAAATAATTCCACTTTGCCCACAGGAGAAAATTTGATTTGGAAACTGGACGGGCCTTGTGCAGAGGGTCAAGATATATCTATACTCCCTAACGGAGAAACTATGTGTTGGGGTTTAAAATCCCCATTACCAAAGAAAAAGGAAACAGATCTAAGTTATTCTTGTGGACGTAGTGTCGTCCAACCTTTAAAATTTGATCTACAAGTTTTGGGAAAGCCGATCTTTATAAAAAGGGTAAATGAAACTGCTCCAAAGGTTGGAAACTTTAACTTTAATCTGAGCGATATTAATGGAACCGAATGTACTAAAAAAGGTGATGACTCCTCAGAATGTCCCGTTGCAGTTAAAGCAGGACTACAGCTTGATTATACATATGATTGTGTACCTGATGGGCTATGGTGGCTATGTGGAGATGGTCATGCCAGAAAGTCCTTACCTCATTACTGGGATGGGAGCTGCACTTTAGGATATCTAGTTCCCCAGGATAAGGTGTTCAATCACTCACATCCACCACCAGGTATTTTAAGATCACCATGGAAACTCGTTAAACGAGAAGTTAACAATTCCCTAACTGAACGAGAAACAGGATTTCGTAGCTTTGTTAGATGGCTCTTTCCCCACTTAGGAGTAAGTGAATTGGGAAAAGCAATAGTGAATATTTCGGCCACCATAGAACAAATAGAAAATCTTACTGCAGGTGCCATACAGGGAATTCAACAGGAAGTTTCCTCATTAGGCAAGGTGGTAAGTCAAAACAGAATGGGTCTAGATATGCTTTTAGCAAAAGAGGAAGGATTGTGTATGGTTATTAATCAAACTTGTTGTACCTATATTAATCATGAAAAACGTGTAGAAACAGATCTAAACCAGATCTGGGAAAAAACTAAAGTTTTACACCAAGTGGCTGAAGGTGACACCTCTTTTGGGTTTACTGAACTTTGAGAAAAGCTCACATCCTGGCTGCCTAACTTAGCATGGCTAAAGCAATTGTTTGTTACATGTATAATTATTGTAGCATTAGGAATATTGATTTGTTGTATGTTTTGATGTTTTGTATGGAAGAGTATGTGGTCTGGCAATAGTTATGAGGAGTGGAAAAGGCACCAATTAAGACGAAAGGCAGAAAGCGGGCAATAGTTCAGGGAAACTTGATTTCAAAACATAGTGCTTTAGCAAAAGAATTTTCTAAGGAGAAAGAAAAGGGGGGACTTGAAAAGCAAATCTTTAACCCTTTCATTAACTTTAGTAAAGAGCTGGGTTTTATCTAGAAAAGAGGAAGTATCTTGTCAGCAAGATCCTCCACACAGTAAGAAATCATTTCCAGCCAGCATTGTAGACAGCCCAGGACAACTCAGCAGTTTCAGCCAAAGGTGGGAAGTTTACTGTGAAGAAGGCTTCAAGCCTTCCTCCCAAAGACCCCCACCCGTGACCACCAGATGGGAGTATGCAGGCGCAAGTGGAAGGGAACTTGTGATGATGAATTCCTGGAACAAACTGTAATAACCCTGCCTATTCTTGGAAATCTAACGAATATGTGTGCTTATGTATAATAAATGTCTAGTTGCCTGCTCCCTCAGCATGCAAGTTAGGAGGAGCGATCCCCCTTGCACCCAGTGCCGCAATAAACATGCCTGCTTTATAACTCTCCGTGAGCTGTGGAGTTCGTTTCAGCACGTCAATGCTGCTTTAGTAAGTTACAGTTAGTGTGCACTCTGATGTAGTTTTGCATAATTCAAAGTGAAATTCTACATAGGATTTTAAAGAAAAAACACTTTAATCCGTTTTCAGACAGCCATCTTTGTCCATGCAAGTGTGCAGTTTTCTTCTTTGTTGTTTGCAGCTACTGTCACTTTGGCATACATTGAGAGAGGACAATGTCTAACGTGCCAGTGGCTGTGGTGACTGGGTCCAACAAAGGGATCGGATTTGCAATTGTGCGGGCTCTGTGCAAGCAGTTCCCGGGGGATGTGTACCTGACAGCCCGAGACCCTGGCCGTGGCCAAGAAGCAGTGGCAAAGCTCCAGGAGGAAGGGCTGCGTGCACTCTTCCATCAGCTGGATATCGATGATCTGCAGAGCATCAGAGCTCTCCGTGACTTCTTAAAGGAGAAGTATGGAGGGCTGAACGTGCTGGTTAACAATGCAGGGATCGCTTTCAAAGGTAGGAAGCGGACTGTCTAGGGTAGTCCTATGTGCTACAAAGCTGTGTGGTGAAAGATAGTAGATGCATCAAGGACTTTACAAAGCTACTTGTATGGGACTTCTGTGCCAATGGCATGCTGCTTTTTTGGCTGGGTAAGCTGCCTACCTGCTTAAGCATTATGAGAGGGCAATGTGAAATGGCTCTTCGCGTAGCACCTGTTGGGCTCACTGTGCCTGTAAAGATGCTCCTCTGGAGTATTTGCATTGCAGACAGAGCATGAAAATACTGAAGGCACACAGAGCACAGTTGAGTTTGCCTCAGTGCCCATGAGTTTCACCAGGCCCATGGGAGCCCATCATCTATGCAAATATCAGCCGTGTTCCTTGGGGATCTGTGTTTTCTCTCTTCTGTAAGCCTCATACTTTGTTCTGTATGTTGCCTGCTCAAGGATTCTGGTTGATAAAGAAGAATCTTTGGCCCGGGGTAGTTTTTGTCATCTTTACTTATCTTTAACTTTCTCAAGCCGTTTAGTTACCTGTAGAATGGTTAACCTAAATTTTGCTGTGCTGAGCAAGAATTTAACCCTTTCATCTTCTAGTAGACAGGGACGCAGGGAAAGTGAGAAAGACACAGCAGTTGTAAGGTAGAAGAGTGCATTTTCCTTGTGTTTTTATAATCAGGTTGAGAATCATGTTAGCTCCAGATAGAGCAATAACAAGCATGACTACTAGTTCATATCGCTGCCAGTACGAACTTGTTCTTTCCATATTTTCTGTGGGTTTTTTTGGTGTGTTTCTTTAATCTCTTTGCCTGATTTCCAGTTAGGACATGTAACTGTTCCAGCACAGTGTTGTGCTGACTCATCTGCCAACAGCATGAGTTAAGGAGGCCATCAGGTAGTATGGATCAAATCTCATCTGCTGCTGAAGGTGGAGCTTCTCAGGTAGTGGGAGTGCAGCAGTGGTGTTCTGAAGTCCAGTCACTGTATATTTTGCGTGGTACTTTGCAGGAGGATTGCTTGTGTTCAAGATCAGCTTAATAGGAGGCAATTGTCTGAGGTAATTGTCTGAGCTTCAGGATGTGCTCAAGACAGAGGTGTTACAATCTTTTAATTTGCTGCAAGTTTTTATCTCTGTTGTAGAATCACAGAATAGTTTAGGTTGGAAAGGACCTTTAAAAGTCATCTAGTCCAACCTCTGCTGCAGTGAGCAGGGACATCATCAATTAGACCAGGTTGCTCAGAGCCCCGTCCAACCTGGCCTTGAATGTTTCCAGGGATGGGGCATCTACCACCTCTCTGGGCAACCTGTGCCAGTGTTTCACCACCCTCATCGTAAAAAGTTTCTTCCGTATATTCAGTCTAAATTTACCCTTTTTTAGTTTAAAACCATTATTCCTTGTCCTGTCACAACAGACCCTGCTAAAAAGTTTGTCCCCATCTTTCTTACAGGTCCCCTTCAGGTACTGAAACTGCAATAAGATCTCTGTGGAGCCTTCCCTTATCCAGGCTGAACAGCCCCAACTCTCTCAGCCTTTCCTCACAGGAGAGGTGCTCCAGCCCCCCAATCATTTTTGTGGACCCGCTCCAACAGGTCCATGTCTCTACTGTGCTGAGGGCTCCAGAGCTGGATGCAGGACTCTGGTGGGATCTCAGCAGAATGGAGCAGAATCCTCTCCCTCACCCTGCTCTCTACGCTGCTTTTGATGCAGCCCAGGATGCAGTTGGCCTTCTGGGCTGCGAGTGCACATTGGTGGCTCATGTCCAGCTTTTCGTCCATCAGTACCTTCAAGTCCTTCTTGGCAGGGCTGCTCTCAATCCCTTCATCCCCCAGCCTGTATAGAACCGTCTATTTGGCCTAGTTGAACTTGATGAGGTTTACACAGGCCCACATCTCCAGCTTGTCCATGGACTCTTCATACTTTGCCCCTGCTCCAGCATGGGGTTCCTCCCATGAGAGACAGTTCTCCGCAAACTTCTGCAGTGTGAGTCCTCACAGGCTGCAGTTCTTCATGAACTGCTCCAGTGTAGGTCCCTTCCACAGAGTACAGTCCTTCAAACATTCCCATGCTCTAGCGTGGGGTCCCCCATGGGCTGCAGATGGATCTCTGCTCCACTGTCAACCTCCGTGGGCTGCAGGGGGACAGCCTGCCTCACCATGGTCCTCACCATGGTCTTCACCACGGGCTGCAGGGGAATTTCTCTGGCACCTGGAGCACCTTTTGCCCCTCCTTCACTGACCTTGGTGTCTGCAGGGCTGTTTCGACTCAAATTCACATTGGAGTTCCAGCCTGTCCAGTACAGCAGCACAGAAACAGCAGCAATGCCCTGACCATCTGCCAGCCCAGGCACATCGTCATTGCTGTTATCAGAATGTTTCCAGGTGCAGCAGAGGAAGATGATAAGCAGTACCACAAGCAGTGAAACCAAAAAGCAGCAACTAAAGAGCACTGTAATCTGTAGCAAGCACAGGAGCCTGTCAATAGCTAAACAGCAATAACAACTATAATTTCTATCCAGCTGTCCTTGTTTTGGTTTGGATAGAGTTAATTTTTCTCCCAGTAGCTGCTGTGTTTTGCATTTACTACAAGAAGAATGTTGATAACACTGATGTTTTCAGTCGTTGCTATGTGATCAAGGACTCTTTCCAGCTTCTCATGTTGAGCTAATGAGCAAGTATGTAGGAGCTGCAAGGGAGCATAGCCAAACAGATAGCCAAGCTGGTGAATGGAAATGTTTCATACCATAGGCATCATGCTCAGTTGAGGAATGGGGGTTGGCCGCAAGGCAGAAAGGTGTTGGCTCTTCTCATTTCCAGGAGTTTGAACTTTTTAGTGAAATTCATGATTTGCAGGTTCCACAGTCACTGCTCAGGGACTGGCTGCGAATTGGTCGTTGGGTGGTGAGAAATATTATATTACATATAGTTTGTTTTACATATTCATGAGCAATAGTAATATTATTTCATTTGTTGTCTTATTAAACTGCCTTTATCTTAAACCTTGAGTTTCCCCTTTTGTCCATTTCTCTTCCCCATCCCGCTGGGGAGGAAGGAGATAGGGGTGAGCAAGTGGCTCTCAAGTGTTTAGTTGCTGACTGCCAAGTTAAACTACGACACTAGCACATTCAAATCAATTCTGTCATTAGCTTGAACCCTTTGAGCCCTGTGTTGCGCACCAAAAAGCACTGTTGTGGTTTAACCCCAGCCGTCAGCTCAGCACCATGCAACCGCTCGCTCACTCTGCCCCAGTGGGATGAGGGAGAGAATTGGAAGGGTAAAACTGAGAAAACTCATGGGTTGAGATAAAACAATTTAGTAGGTAAAGCAAAAGCCACGTGCGCAAGCAAACAAAAACAACTAATTTATTCACCACTTCCCTTCGGCAGGCAGGCGTTCAGCCATCCCCAGGACGGCGGTGCTCCATCATGTGTAGCAGTTATTTGGGAAGACAAATGCCATCACTCTGAACGTCCCACCCTTCTTTCCTCTTCCCCCTGCTTTATATGCTCGAATATCCCATCCCTTTGGTCAGTGGGGGTCGGCTGTCCTGGCTGTGTCCTCTCCCAGCTCCTTGTGCACTCCTGACTTCTCGTTGGCAGGCTGGTATGACAAGCTGAAAAGTCCTTGACTGCTTAGCAACAACTAAAACATCAGTATGTCATCAACATTCTTCTCATACTAAATCCAAAGCACAGCACTATACCAGCAACTAGGAAGAACGTTAACCCTATCCTAGCTGAAACCAGGACAGGCCAGTATTTCTTCAATTCATAATCAGGCCCTTAGCTCAGCCTACTAGTGACAGTTTGAGCAAGACTGGGCTGCAACTACAGCATTTGCAGTGTGTGTTTCCTGTTGCTGACTTTGCAGCAGCTGTAGCCTCCAGCAAAGTGGGTACCTGGACAGGTGAAATAAAAGCTCCTCAAACTACTGCAGCATGAGCTCATCTGTGAGAGATCTGGGCTTTATTAGCGCAGAGCCACTGAACAGATAAATAGGTAAAATAGCATGGCCAGTGTCATTCCTGTCACTTCCTTTACTACATCATAGATTTTTTTTTTTTTACTCAGTAGTTGCTTCCAGATTTTTAGCCTAGACTCTTTTCAAGCTGACAACTTGCTATGAGTCAGCAGTAGGTCATACAATTAAGAAATGTGATAGGGGAGACAGTTACAACTGTTGCTGTATAAGTATCTAGCACAGAGGCTAGAGGGTTTCACACTTGTGTGAGAACTTGCTGTGATGCTCATCTCATATTTTGGCTTTAATTCTTGCTCTGAGATTGTTTCTGCCCAGGCTTGCTTCTTGCCTCGCCAGGTTTCTGCTACCATGCCAGAATTTATGCTTTCCTTTCTTTATTGTAGTACTGTGTGTCGTTGCTGTCAAAGACTAGATTTACAATTAAATTTAATGTATTCTTCAGTTTTTGTGCTGCACTGCACATAGTCTAGCAAAGTCCTTAGTCCGGCAAAAACTCTTCATTATGAAATGATTATGTATTCCTGGGTTGCCTTGTGGATGAGCTTCTGTGAGAACAGTCATTCTAGTGATGCTTGGTAGATAAAGGGAGTGTGTATCTATCGGGTGTTATGAGTAATATATCTTGCTAGACAAATGAGTGGGTTTTGGAGTAGGGAAGCTTCTCTGTTGCAAGGTGGATATGGAAGCAGGAGTTCAGAGATGTGTAGGTTTTTAGTTTCTTCTCCCGTTGCTGTAATTCTTGTGATAGGTCATGGTCTGGCCTTATGTCTGGGATTTAAATGCAAGCAAGTGATTTGCAAAACTTGATGCCATCATTGCCCGCTGCTTGTGAGTATAAATGTCAGTCATTGAAGCTGTGTTTCGCAAGAAAAACACAACTACATTAAATAGTAAATGACCTTTTGCTGCTTGTCTTTTGAGTTTACATAGGTCTGGGCTGTGGAGACAAGTGAAGACCTGCCTAATCTATATGGGTGGCCTTCATCACTGCAGAGACAGAGCCTGCAGCAGAAGAGGAGGAGTGCTGTTACTTTAACTCCTACTTCCCCCTCAAAGTGGAGGACGCATAGCATATGGCTTATTGCTGAGCCAAATTGTCAGCTGATGGCACATCTACCCCACTTTTGGTGGTGGCAAGCTGTCATTTCTGTCTGAAATCATACCCTTACAGTGCAGTTCAGTGATCTGCTTACGCTTACCGAAGTCAGCTCCATTAGCTGCTTGTTCCCACTCTTTTGCTTGTGTTAGCACAGATCTGTCAGTTCAGGGGATGATTTATGGCACAAGTGTTTATCAGTTTTTGGGGTCGGTTGGGGTTTTCTGTTTGCTTGTTTTTTCAGGCAGCACTAAATCTTACCTCTGCATTCTTTGTAGAAGCTTTTACAGTGTTTGTTGCAATTCAGCACCGCTCTGGCTGCAAGTCTGGGCTGAGAAGCCAAGACATGGTAACAGAGAAGAGTCAGGGTATAGAAGCAGTTGTCTGCGATGTTGTTGGATGTTAATACTGGTGTGGTAGTCTAGCTTTTGCATCTTCAGTGGCAACATCCTAGATTCAGGATCTTCCCTTCTGATTTCCCCTCTGCCCCCTCTCCTGGTGTATCAGGATGATGGCAAAGTGCTGTGCTATGCATTTAAGAGGAGAGAGCACCTCGAAGCTTACTTACCTGCGGTAGTGGCAGCCCAGACTGAGCACTGGATGTGAATAAGTACAGGCGGGTCAGTGGGCAGGTTGGGCAGCACACCCTGTGAGAGCAGTCTTTGCTTGTCTCTTCCATATAAAAGGCAGAAACGCAAACGGCCCATGGGTTGACAAATGACTCTGCAGAGTGATGCAGCTGACTCTCCTGGGGCAAAACTAAAGCCTTCAACTAAGAAGAGGTGAAAACAATTATTATTATTAATACAATATTGCAGAGCTGGATGTTTTCATTAATAAGAATGTGTTAGTGATGTTGCTTTTTTTGTGTATTTTAATTGATCATATGCCTGTTTCCTAATTATCAAAAATAAACTTTTATGTTTTGATAGTTTAGTAATTCTCATTTAATTTAATTTTTTTTTTTTTTTCTCCCTTGCTACCTCCTCTTACGAAAAGTTCGTGACACAACTCCATTTGCGGTCCAAGCAGAGGTTACACTGAAGACAAACTTTTTTGGAACCAAGAATGTCTGCACAGAATTGTTGCCTCTTGTGAAGCCTTATGGTAAGTGTAACATAACAAGTAGGGAAATAGTTTTATGTGAATTTTGGCCCTCATTAAATGGGAGAATTCTGTCCTGTCTCAGAAGGACCCTGCCTCATAGCAAGAGGAGTGCACCTTGCTGTACCATAGGTAAGAGAACAGATGGCCTTTCATGACCCCCAAAGTGTTTCTGCTGTGTATATTTATATCCATTTTCAAGCCAGTCACATTCTTCTGTTATGGCTCGAAATGGAATTCTCATGGTGCCCTCAAGAACACATTAAAAACTCACCCATTTTTGTCCATGATATCTGCCTACATAAATTCTTATTGCTTTAGAAAGGACCTGTTGATGATACAACTAGCATAAGGAAGTACCTAAAAACAGTGTTTCAGCTGGGTTTGATGTGACATGCCTGTTCTTGCTACTGCTGAAGAAACCTTCTCAGTAGGCTATCAGTCTGTCTCGTATCTAGATCACAGCCTTTGCAGTATTTGCAAGTGTCTAGTGATGTAGTTATAAATGGCACTTGTAGATGTACGTGAAGTTACTGTGATTTTGTGATGTTAGGAGGAACTGGAAGAAAGCACTTTACCAAAAATAGTAAATAGAATGGACCAGGGTCAGAGAAGATACATGCCACTATAGTGAAGAGGTGTTAGCAACATGCAAATAATCTGTACTCGTTGGATGACTGTCCTGCACAGAATGCTCTTGTTCTTGAAACGTGGGAGCACTGGAAGTGCATGCTACTGGCATATCACAGATAATTTGAAAGGAGGGTATTTGGATCCAATGCCCACACCAAATCTAAGGGTTTTTTCTTTTCAAGACTTGTGATCACTAGGTAGTTTCATGGATATTTGGATAAGGGCTTGCTGCCACAAATGAAATGTTGTCTATACCAACATTTAAATACATCTAGGTTTTTAAGAGAAAGTAAATCAAGTAGAGGAGAGAGAAGTTGGGAACTGTTAGACGTTCGGGGCTGGTAGGGGAGACAGTAAGTAGTGCCAAAATTGCAATTTAGTCCTCTTGTACTAAGAGCGAAGGACAAATGTGTTAATAAAATCATTAACAGAAAGGATTAATTTCTGTGGCGTGTAAGTTCTAAATCCTCATGTTCATTCCATAGTTCATAGCCTGGATGGCTCTAAACTAGCAAGAAAGAGGGAAATAGCGTGACATAATTTGGGGGAAGATGAGTGAATTACTGATTCAGCTGATTCATTCCTCTGTACTGAAGTGCTGGGAGATAAATAGCTTACTGCGCTTTTGCATGCTGGGATGTGTGAATCTTCAGGTATTCTGTAAACAAGCTGATGGTCTCACCGCATTAAGAACTAAATTGCTTTTATTGAATTCTGTATTATTCTGGCTTTTGAGGTACATTCTTATGGGACTTTACTCAAGCTGTTGCAGAACTTCGAGTGATGTCTGGCTGCCATTACTGCGAAAGCCACTTACCACTATGAATATGCCTACAGATTGTACCAGGTTGTTTCCTGGAAGAACACCTGAAGCTCAGTGGAGAGCTTTTACAGGTTCACACCTTAAATTAGCCTCTGTAATGAAATTCACTGTAAATGCTTGACATCGAGTTAAATGTGGTCTTCCAGAAGCTCTGCCAAATAGCCCCCACAAAATACTGCACAAGTATTCACCTAAGTAATGAATGCGTAACTGTAGGGCAAGCCCACTCCAGTGTCTGGGCTTGTTTAGTGTGTGTAAAAGTAATCAGTCTTTATTCTCTTTTACCAGGTAGAGTGGTGAATGTCTCTAGTATGGCGAGTAGCTCAGCTCTGGGAGGGTGCAGCCAAGAACTACAGCGGAAGTTTCGCAGCGACACTATCACTGAGGAGGAGTTAGTGGAACTCATGACCAAATTTGTGGAAGATACCAAGAAAAGTGTGCACGAGAAAGAGGGTTGGCCAAATAGTGCCTATGGAGTATCGAAAATCGGTGTCACAGTGTTGTCCAGGATTCAAGCCCGGGTGTTAAATGAGAAAAGAAAAGGTGACCACATCCTTCTCAATGCCTGCTGTCCTGGGTGAAAAGATGGGGCAGCCCCAAAAGCCACTAAATCGCCTGATGAAGGCGCTGAGACCCCAGTCTATTTGGCTCTTTTGCCTTCTGATGCTGGTGGTCCTCATGGCCAGTTTGTTAGCGACAAAACTGTTCGAACCTGGTGAGCTGATGTATGTGGACCCATGCAAGCAGTAATATGACTGTGGATTATCCTGTGCCTTGGTAGGGCTTTTAGCCAGACCAGTCTCATCCTGTCCACAGCAGCAGCAGGGTCCTTCATGATTACAGTGAGGGCTACAGTTACGGTACTCCTCTGGGATTAAATCTGCACTAGGGTATGCTCTACAACAGTCTCCATTAGCCTGCTCACAGCACTGACGGTGTAGCCCAGAATCTGATTTGTAGATATTCCAGCCCAGATGATACGGGCTAGTTTGGTGTTGCCCTAAAGTAGAGGTGCCTGACCTTGTTTACCTGATTCTACTCTTAATTAAATCATTGCCAGCCCTTCTCCCTCTGACATGGAGTTGGGATGAGGAACCAGATGCCTTATGCTTTCTCAGCACAGTAGATCTTTTTAGGCACTGTAGTTGCTTCTTGAGGTTGTGCAGGGCTGCTAAAGGGGAGAGGGTTGTTCTGAGATCTGCAGTCTGACCAGTATGGGGGGAAACTAATCACTGGTGTATAGAGGTTGCTGGTTGATTATAAGTACAAAATGGAATTAGGCGAAAATAAACAATAGCGGTGACATACCCTTAACAGAACTTAATCAGTTGGCTTTATTAATGTGTATGTCAATAAATGATTACTTACAGATTTGTATTCATCCAACTGGCTTATTCTGATACTAAAAATTTATAATGTTTGAAAATACTTTCATTTTCTGCAGCTAAGTTTGTAGCGTGATGTTTGGACTGTATAAAGAGAAAATAAACTACCGAACTGATATAGCAAACTATTCCTCAGGATTTCCAGTTCATTGATTGCACAGACAGAAGTTTCTTTATTAAAAACCTGAATTAAGTGTTTTCCGTGTAGTAGAGAAAATGAACTGTAAAGGTGAAATACATAATTATCATGGTAACCAAAGCAAGTCATCCAAGCAAAATCACAAGTAGAGGAAGCGGTGACATGGAGAGCATGAAATTTGTTTTCTCATTTAAAATATGTTGGTTATTGCACTTCAGATGCTCAGTCGTGGAAGGCTGCCATGGCAGCTGGAGCTATGGAGGTGGAGCCGAGAGGCAGGGCAGGCCGGGGGGGCTGCAGGGCTGGGGTAATGTGAGATAGGGTTGGTCCCCCCACGGCCCCAGCCGTGCAGCTCCCTCTCTACCAGCACAAAAGCCACGACGGCGGCTCCGGGGCCCTGCCCCGTCTTCCCAGGGCCCAGTGCTGTGCTCTGCAAGGGCAGGCTGCTGCCTCTGCCTCTTGCTATGAGAAGCTGAAGGAGCTGCCAGCCATCGCTTTTGAAGCTGTCCTTGGGAATGACAGATCGGCAAGGGGCATGTTAATCCTTAGTCAGGAGTCAGCAGAACAATGCCCAAATGACTTCGCTGGCTGGGCTTTACGTTGGCTCCCTGTGGTAAAGTTTGTGTTCAGGCAAGCCTTGGATCAAAAGGCATTGGACATAAGTAATGTGTGTGGCTTTGGTAATCACTTATCAGTGCAGAACAAAGGTGCAATTATTAGTCCGTCTTTTAAGGATACAGTACCTATTGTTTTTATGAAGGTGGAAGTATTGCCAAATGAGTCACGCCCCAGAGCTCAGTGAAGGATGAATGCTGCCGCAAAAGTTCTCATGGTAATCTATTCTTAACGAAGAAAAAATGTCTGAGACCTTTAGCTTAAGGGCAACAGATCAGTTACAAAATCCCTGTAAAAAGTTTTTAATGGGTTTTATGTACTACCCGCAGACTGCCTGCAGCATGATAGCTCCAAAAGCCATCCAGGTAACACAGCGACTTGACTGTCGTTCTGATGCGCAGCAAAGAACCGTGGTTTGTGTATGCTCTTCTAGTTGTGTGGATGGTACCTCAGCAAAATTAAACACGGCTGTTCTAATTCAGTAATACTTTGTGCGCAACTTCAAAAGATGTAATTCACCAGCGGAGAATCATACCCAGTTCTTTATACTTGAAATGCTGCTTGGGTCGTTAAGTTTAAGAAGTTGTGTGCCCTTCAGGTTGGCATTTACAAACTTTCCAGACAAACCTTCATCTGTCATATGGTTTGTGCAAAGACTGGGCTGTATGAGTCCTAGGTGAGTATACTACAGATGGATAGTATGCAGTGTTAAATACAAATTAGTTTCTGTGTGTCCCCTATGCTCTGTGAAGCTGCTTCTGAAGTCTAACTCAGGATCTGGGTGGGTTTTTTTTTCACATTCAAGCCCAGCAAATAGTAAGTTTGAAAGTTTTACTAAAGACGTATTTCAAATTCTTGTATTAAGGCCTGTCATGGTGCTTGTTCTTTGTTAAACTAAGCTTGTTTCAGGGTAAGGAAGCAAAGTGGAAGATGGTGGCTAAGTAGTCGTATTCAGAAATGTCATTGCTCATGGTGAAATTGATTATAATACAGCCAGTTTCTTCTAGTATGATCAGAAAGAACAGAGGACAGATGTTTTCACAACCGTTGTGGCTGTGATGCGGTGCTCAAGGAAGGAGAATCAGGTGTGTGGACACAACCTCAGCTGGAGGAGGTGGAAACAAGAGGCAGAAAATAGCGGCTGTTCACGGGCCCAGTCAGAGCCGGGAAGGAGCTGATGCAGGAGCAGCTCATTCCGCGGTGACAGTGGCAGGAGGGCCGGTGTCCCGGGGGGGCTGCCAGGGGAGGACTGTTTCCTGAGGGCAGAAGCAGAGCACAGGCTGTACAGCGTGTGTCGTGGGCTGGGTGTTTGCACAGGGCTTGCATTGTTCAACCGAAATTTGTTTGGTTTGGGGTTTTTTTTTTTTAAGCCGCCTCCCTGCTTCGCTCCCATGTCCATTGTGTCTGAAGCTTCTTGTTGCTTTCAGATTCTGGCACGCTTGCTGGGTGATTACTGTGTAAAGTTTAAGGGTCAGGAAAGGGATGAAATAATAATGATCTGTAGTACTCTGTAAAACTTCTACGTGTGATTTACTGTTTTTTCTTTTTACAGCATGTCACTAGCATTTTTACTTTGGAATTTATTAGCCAAAGAAAATGCCTGGCAATGCAGTAGCTGTGGCGACACAGGACCATAAAGGAACGGAATTCACAATTGTGAGAGCTCAGTGGAGGCAGCTCCCTGGGGATGCTGTGGCTCGGGCAGGATGCAGTCAGGCAGCAGTGGCAGAACTTTGGGAGCGGAAGCCGAACCTGCTGCCGCATCAGCTGGATATAAACAGTGTGCAAGGCCCCTGGGGCACCCTGAAGGAGAAGCTGCAGGCATCCCAGTGTGCTGGTTAACAGTGCAGCCATCGTTTTCAAAGGCTGTATTAAGCTGGCTGTTTGGCAGAGCTTTGCTTTGGGAAGCGGTGATCTAAAAGCGTGGGGGCAAGCAGTAAGGAGACTGGTCTGCTCTAAACGTTTTCAAATCCAAAGGGGATTGCAACCAGGTAATTTCTGTCTGCATCCCCTGCAATGATGATAACTATAGCGTGGGCCAGGCTTTTGTATCCCTTCTGGTTCCAATGCTGTGTAGTGCAGTGCATTTGGTTTTCAAAACTGGACCATAGACATGCCTAGAGAGTTTGAGGTCAGTTTCCCTAAAAAGATGAAGAGAATATACCTAGCTTAACGTGTTGTTTCATTAAATCTTCCATTTGTGTGTTTTCCTATGTATATAGTGAAGATGACAAGAACTCTTGAGAATTCATTTCTGTCCACAGATAATTTTAATGGAACCCATCTCTCATAGTGGTATAACCCAACATGTAGGCAATGTCCTGACTTTGAATGCTGTGGCATTCCTCTCAGCCTAAAAATGAGTCAAGAAAATGTAGATTATATATGCCATCCAGTATTACTTAAAACACTTAAATGCAAAATACAATTAAAACTCCAGTCTCACATTAGTATAGGAATGTTTTTAGCTTTTTAATCTCAACGAAAAAAAGAGAAGGGACAAGAATGATGTTTTACAATGAAAATTCTTCAGTTTTCGTTTTTGTTCTGCAAACACTTCATTTTGGAGCTGGCAATAAAGGAAACTGTCAGCTGGACAAAGTTCTGGTCTTGGAGGCCAGTTTTTGTCATCTACAGATGGCTTCACCAGGTCAGCTATTCATAACACTTACACCTGAATGAACAATACCCGATTTCGTATTTCCCAGTTTGGATTGTTCACTTGTCCTTGGACCCTGCCCACTTGTCTAGAGTTGTGGCTACTCAGCACTCTGAAAATCCTACCCTGTCTCTCTTCAGGTACGTACCTGCGTGCTCACACACCCTGATCTGATGGGCATTGTCTGTTTTGTTTGATTGGAGTTACACAGTATGTAGAGGACATATGGCAGTAGGGGCTACAGTGGTGTTTTATTTGTGAATATATTATTTTAGACTCTGCTAAGGAGATAAAATACTGAGAGCAAGCAACTTGCTAAACTTCCTGCAGTAAATAATAGAAATTCTATATAGTTTCATGGTAGAAATTTCATATTTTAAATTGCAAGGCATATTTCTTAAAAAAAAAATCTGACAAGGGATATACAATTAGAGTAGACTTTCCCAGTACGAACCAGACAGATTTATGTGAACATCACGTGGAAGTTAACGTGAATGTTCATTAGATTGAAATGCAGCCTGGCTGTCTCCAGAAGTGATTACATCAGTAAATCTTACTTGATTTCATCCCAAGGGCCAGGATTTAGCATGGGCCGTGCTGCCATGGTGCATGTAACAAACTGATTTATAGCCTTTCCTGGAAAGAAGTCTTTTGAATCGTTAGTATGATAGGCACGCTTTGAATTAGCGTAATCTCTGATACAAAAACCAGCATTCGGCGTTATTTTTCAAAGTATTCACGAACCAGCAGATTCGGAAGCACCAGAGCTGAGGAAGTGGCTTGGCCTGGAGGTGTGGTTGGTTTTGGTGCGTGTTCTGAGCAAAGCGTCCCAGCAGTCTGAGCACCTCCATGGCCTCTCCGGGAGAGTCTCTTTTCCCTCCCGGCAGCTGCCCTGATGCGCCAGCCGTTCCCTCGTCGGGA